GAAGAAAGAGTGTATATTGAGGATGCCATAGACTGCATTACATCAACTGCTGACCCCAAAGCATCTTTTAGATTTGGTACATCAGCCTGATGAAGAAATAACAGTTTAATATTTGACAGTCTTTTAAAAATAGTGTGAAATATCCAAATTACAAAAGAAAAGTAACACATACTATTGCTTTTTCAACAACCGGAAGACGGAGGGTACTGGCCTTCAAAGCTTCAGTTGCTCCAAGCAAAGAATTGGAGTGATCTCTATCTAGAACAGCCCATTCCTCCAAATAAGAAATCTATTCCCAAGCACAACAAACATCCATTATCACCAACAATAATGATAATAGTAGTAATAAAGAAACTATCAATTGGATTGATGAATGCTGATTATGACTCTCAAGTAAACACAGCATTTAATCCTTATAAGTTATAAGATATGCTTGGAAGTTGGAAGTAACAATATTGAATTGCTAAAATGTTATCAAATGTTCAACTTTGCATCAAGTTATAAAAAGGGTCAGGTACTTCAACAGTGAGCAATTATTTATAAAAACAAAAAAGCAATACATATTAAAATGTAAACTTTAGAAAGTTAATCACCATCCAAGAGTTACACATTCATTGCACAAGAGGCATTGTTTTAAAATTGAATTATACCTGTCCTTTTAGAATGGAAGTTAACTTCAATTTTTGCCTCAGCAATACAAGCTTGATTCTTTTAAGTATGACTGAATGTCGGAGTTCTGAGATTGTTACCCATGCATTCCACAAATGTCTCTGGCACAATTAAAATAGCTTGGGTTAGCCTACAGTATATTATCAGGTGATAGTATTGTAATTGTTATCAACCAATAGCATAGCCAATGTCAACCTAAACATTGTGGGAGTAAATCATTTCACAATACGAGAAGAAATTAAACATGCAAGTACAGATCTACATGCAGAAACACAACTTGTGGAAATGTGTGATTGCCTCTCATGATAAAGAATTCAGAACATTTAATCCAAAATCTGAAAATCATGAATGAAATTGTTGAATGCCACTAAGACCTGTATATTTATGGGCCCATAATGAGATGTAAAAAAGATCATATGGTTCAACTTCATTATACACCTGACTTAAGGTCGACAAGACTAGGTCAAGGTATGCTACCAAGAATCTTACACAAAATACACTTTCACCAACTACTTCTACTTTCTGTACATATGCTCACTCAAGTGTATGACCATTAAAGACACTCCTCATCTCTGCATGTAATATGTTCTTTTGTGCACATAGATAGAAGGTTCACAAGTTTACGTTTCCATTTGAATCAATCCCTGTGAACTTCTACTTGTAACTAGTTGTAAACTTGGGCCAAATACGGGACAACACTATTTATACATTTCTACATGACAACCTTTCACTATATACAACATCCTCAAGTCACTACCAACAAAGATAAGACTCTAAGGAGCCTACCATAATCTATCTGCCATTAGAATGATATTGTGCACTTTTGAAATCTCCAAGCATTTACAAGCAAGGAACATGGATGAGAAATACTATGGATCTATTAGGATAAACTTCTTTAGAAGTATTTATAGGAGGAAAAAATAATAAGGCAAAATGAAATTAGTTTCTCTATAAGCTAATTTGTAGAAGCTCTCTCATATAACTTCAAAAAATTTACAAATTAGCATGTGCATAAACTAGTTTAAACTTATGGAGAAGTTTGTTTATTTTTTCTTCCTACTTTTT